CTGTCAGTAGCTGTCAGTTTGTCTTCTTCATTTTGTTCTCTGCTCCATTCGTTGTGGCCTCCCCGCCACTATTTCTGGGTTCTTTGTATTTTTCTTTTTTTAGAATATCCTGCAATACTTTCTGTAGAGTTGAATTGGTGGTTGCAAATTCCCCCAGTTCCTCTTTATCCTGGAAGCACCTTGTTTTTCCATCAATTTCCAGGGACAGTTGTGCAGGATATCTCAATCTTGACTGGAGATTATTATCTTTCAAAGCTTGAATTATTTCCCCCCACGCTCTTCGTGATTTGATGGTTTATGCAGAGAAATCTGCTGTAATTCTGATGGGTGTTCCCTTGTAAGTGGTCTGTTTCTTGTCTCTGACAGCTTTTAATATTCTGTTCTTGTATTGAATTTCTGGAATTTTTATTATTATATGCCTGGGTGTTGCTCTGTTTGGGTTGTAGGTAGCTGGGGTCCTGTATGCCTCATACATCTGAGTATCTTTACCTTTTGCTAAATTAGGAAAATTCTCCTGGATTATTTCTGTGAGTAGCTTTTGTAGTTCACTTGTTTGTGTCCCTACTTCTTCTTTTATGTTCTTAATCCTTAAGTTATGGATCCTCTTATCATCTTCTTGTGTTTGTATTATTGCTGTTTGTTTCTTTGTTATTTTTAAGAAGTTTTTCATTTCATTCTCCCATATTACAAGTCTGCCCTCCAGTTCAGATAGTCTGTCCTTAGTTTCTTTCAAGCTGTCATGCCAGTCTTGGATAGACTTCTTAGTTTCTTGGTAGTCCCTTTGAACCTGTTTCACGTATTCTATGCTTTCTCTGTTTTCTCCATCAAACAATTCTCCCCTCTTTTTCTGTTCTTCCATTCCATCATCTGTTTTTTCCTGGGTGGTGCTTAGCATTTCTCTAACTATTCTGCATACTTCTAGCTTCAGGTCGTTGATAACTTCATTCCTGAATTGGTCTATGAGGCTCTCTATATGGCGCTTAATGTCTATTGGTGCGGTGTCCGCTATTGCTTGTTTCTCAGAATTGGGGGCCGAGGAGCCCTTCTTGTTGCTGCCTCTTCCCATATCCTCAGTTCCTTGTATATGCAAGCTTACATAGGAGACCCAGCTTCTCTCCCTGTCAGCCACAGCCTGATCGAATTGCTCTGGTTAGGTGTTCCCACCCACTGCAGCATAACAGGAAGTTGCAGATCAGGCAGCCTATGCGGGGCCTGCCCCTCCCAGCCACCGTCAGGCTCTGGGATCTGGGTTGGGCCAGCCTATGGGGTCCGCCAGCAGCGTCACGCAGGCCAGGCACTTTTCACCAATCCCGTCCAAGAGCGGGATGTGTGGCTGGAGTCGCCACCGCGCCCTGCTCCCGCAGGACTGCCCCGGCCCAGAAAGTCCTCTGCTGGAGTCAAACTGTGGTAGAGTGTCAGTTTCTCTCACTCACCTCACCACAAGTCAGTGTACGCCTCCCTGCCCGTCCTGTTTTCGACTCCGTTTGCAGACTCCCGTTCTCAGAGCTTCCGCGCGTCTCTCTCCTTGCTGAGCCGATGTAGAGGCAGACAGCCGCCGTGTGGCGGGAAACCCAAATTGCGGCTTCCAATGGCGCGGGGTCCACACCGAGGCTTTTCTGTTCCTGTTTTAACGCCAGGACTGCATTCCAAGTTGGTTTCTCTCAGCCCAGTTTGTTCTGAGTCAGCAGAGCATATCTCCACCGGCTTATGTCTCTTTAGTCCGCACCATTCCTGACTTCTGAACCAAGCCTTTCAGAGAGCCTCCGTAGTATCTGCTATCTGTCTGCCATGTTCTCCCGGAAGTAGGCCGCCAATTTCGCTCTTGCATTCCTCATGTCATGTCCTAAACATTTCTTGTAAGGACACCAGGCAGATTGAATTTAGGGAACACTACCATAATGGTTTCATTTTAACTTAGTCACCTCTCTAAAGGCTTTATTTCCAAATACAATCACATTATGAGATCACAGTTACAACAATATGAGTTTTAGGGGAACACAGTTCACTCTATAACAAATGTCTTTTTAAAGTACATAAAAGGAAAAGGGCAGCAATGGGGTCATCTTTGAAGAGCATGTAACTGTAATTGAAGATAAAAGATGAGACTGCAAGAAAAACTAGTGAGGGTCAGATAAAGTTGAAGGTCATTTATATGTATCCATTCTGCCCAGCAATCTGAATCTGTATAACAGTTGTCAGGTGGGTGAAGTAAAGAATTAGAACTGCTGGTGTTTTGATGAGGCTGCTAGGTGCCCATGTGGGCTTATTAACCAGTAAGATGACTATTTCTTGTATGCGATGTTGAAATGCAAATGAGTTTTATTCACATCCTTAGCAAAATTACAGTTACTGTTTGCCACGGACCTGTCTGACTGTTCTTAATAGTTGAAAATATGAAAGTCAAATCTAGGACTCCTGAGATTTTGTTGCATTCACCAATACACAAATTAGCTTGAATATTTCTTTCTACATTTTCTATAAATTTTCTTTCATGATAACTCTGCATTTTCCTCCCTTTTCTCTGTCCTCTTTATTCCCCTCTGAACCATACATTAGTAACTTATCAAGCACCTACTAGGTATCTGGCGTGACAGGTAAAGAATCCAAAATCTGTTATAAATATGTACATATATGTGTGTATTGTGTACATATATAAAACCAAATGGTAAATACGATTATAAAAATATTAATTCATATGTTCATTTAGTCCTATGAATATATCAAGTACCTACTATGTGCCTGACAGAATGTTAGAGCTGGGACAGAGAGATGAGTAATATATAGTTTCTGCCTTGAAAAACTTGACAACATTGTGTCAATGAACAGGTAAGTAAACAGACAATACCATGTGAATTTGAAAACTGTTAGAAGATCTTAAAGAAGAAAATGATTCTGGTCTCTGCTTTCCCATGCGTGTTTGGAGATCCACTGAAAGGAGCTACTATTTTCACAAAAGCAAATATAAAAAGAACATCCATTCTTTTTTACAGACATCTTTGAATATTTGCAATCATTGTGTAGTGACAGTTTTAGCTCTTGAATTTTGAGCAAACCATATCATTGTGGAATCTCTGATTTTTCTTTTCATTGGCGCTTATTGTCCAAATCCTGCACTATCACCAACTCCTTGTTTAAATGATGGAATGATTAGTGGTATTTCTGAAACACTCTTGGAAACCTTCTGGATATTACCACTTAAGTCACAGTAACAAAACATTATTGTCATAGTGGGTGTGTGGAGAGCCAATGCTGGCTTGGCAAAACTCTCAGATATTTGGAATTTGGAGCTTTGTGTTAATGTGGGAGTTCTTTGTAATGTACTTTTTAACAAAACTGATGTACAGCAAATGAAAAATACTGAGAAAATGGATTTATGTAGATTATTTAATTGCTATATTTTCAAGTATCACCTACATATGCCTTATCACAGGAAAAAGGTTATTTACAATGAAACACTTATGAGGTTGAGTCAATGAATATAAACTTGTTGCTTTCTCCAGAGCTGACTTGCTTGCTATACAGCAAACTCAAGATCTGCAATCTGGACATTTTTTTCTGAGAAAATGCTAACCATATAGAAATAGTTCAGGAAATAGAAAGAAGGAGAGCAAATTGACAAGTAGTATATGCAGGCTTTAGAATAATGAATAACCTAATAACTGCTGAAAATTCCTGTGATGTCTTGCAATGAACATTTACTATGTGCATGTTGACTTCAGTTCAGAATTGTATTCAAGAATCATAGTGGAAAGCACTGGATTGAGAGTCAGGAATCCTAAGTGCTAGTCTAGCTCTGCCATTGCCTACCCGTGTGCATCATTTCCCCCATCTTTACCGTGAAATGATTATAGGAAAGTCTCGAAGGTTTTCCCAGTTATGATACTTTATCTTTTGGTGATACCACATCCCACATCTATCAAGAGCATTTTGACTTTAAGTTGATTAAGCTGGCATTTCAGTTAGGATGCATCCAAGAACTTATTTCTGTGGGCTATTGGGAACAGCAAGGCCTTGCTTCTCCAGGACTTGATCTGTCTTCTGTTAACTGCTGACAGTGAGCCATACCATCTAAAAGGCTCCCTTGATAGCCTTAAAGATTGAAAGGACAAATGGACAGTGTTGAGAACTCTGTGGAAGAGGAGACCAGAGAGACGTTGATCATCATGGCTCCTTGGGATTTGCAAAGAGGAATGACTAGAACTGGGCCATTCACTGCAGCCAGGTCAAAGGTCAGGTCAGGAATATGGACAATGCTGGTGACTCCAGGTAGGTCTAGGAGGGTATGTAAACCAGTTTAGACCCTCCTGAATCTTGATATCTGGGCAGCCAAACTCAGAAAGTTATTAGGAAGTCTCAATTTATAAAATTTCTTGGAAGAAAATGTGACATTTGTTATTTTGTATCTTTATTACTGCACAATCATTGCACTCTTAATACTCAGCAAATTGATCTATTTTTGGCATATTCATATAGTTCAAGCATTAACTAAACATACTTTCATGATCATTTATTAATTTTTTAAAAATCTGATTTCAATTCATGCCATTTATATAGTGAACTCCCTATTATTTTAAAAGGATTTTTAGAGTATTTTAGAAAGAACTTCAAATTTTTTCCTTCAATTTTATTTAGGCAATGTTAAATTTAATCCTAGTGATAGGGGTTTATATCTATTATAATTTTACTAATAATGAGCTAATTGGAGTAATTAGAAAAGGAATGGAATATTGCTTTCCTTAGTGATTAAAAAGTAATGGATAACTTGTGAATAGGATAGTAAACCAACTAAAAATAATTTTGTGTGATGAATACATTTAAAAGAAAGTACAAGTTTTTGGTAGTTATTTCTATCATGGAATTCCAATAAAAATTTATCTGTGTTCCTTAAAATACTGATTAAATTTCTGTATGTAATTAATAAAAGTAATAATTATGCCTCATACACATTACAAGATGATTCTTCTTCTTCTTCTTTTTTATTTTTTCTTGCTTTTATTTAGTTGCTTCCAAGATCCGGTACTTACAGGAATATCATAACCGGGTTCTTCACAACATTTATCCTGTACCATCAGGAACTGATATTGCAAACACCTTGAAATACTTTTCTCAGACCTTATTAAGGTAAGCCTTAAAAATCCTATACTTTGAGAGAATTATTAGATAGTACTGCTGAATTTATTGGGGCCTAAATTTTTATTGAAGTGTAAGTTTGAAAGGGCATTAAATTTTCTAATGCTCTGCCAGAAGAGTCTGGACTCCAGTCCTCTGGGTGTATATAGCAGATTAGACCCCAGGCCTACTTGGAAAAGTGGATTGCTTGACTGTTGCCTGCCTCCCTCAGTTCTATGTCCTTTTAAGAGATCTATAAAAGATAAGGTTCTCTGGCACTAATACAGTGTTGTATTAAATGAAGAACCTGTGTTGCTTAAAATTAAGAATAGGACATACTTTTGATCTAAAAGAAAATCATAATTATGTGGGATTTTAGGTTTACAAGTATGTCCTTTTTCCTAAGTGTAGTATATGGCAATAGCAGTTATTTTAAATCTGCGTAACACTTCATGTGTTCAACATGTTTTGCAATTGATACCGAAATTCTGTGGAAGATAGGGAAACAAAAGTATAAGAGCCTTTTATACTATCTACTTTTGTTGCAAGGTAGAGGTTTGAGGGGCCTCTTGTCTTCTTTCACATTTCTCATTACGACAAATGAGCAGGATGAACCTTTCCAGTAAGGCTTATTTTGGGAGATAATGTTAAAGAGTCAGAAGAGCACTTTGCTTTCCATTAAGTTCCAAGGCTTGATCTTTTCCATCACCCTCATCTCTTTTCAAATCTGATTTCAGAAGCACAAAAATTCACTTGTTACTATTCCTTTAACTGTACAGCAGTGGACATTTTGTGGGTTGAACATTTGAAAAGCACAAGTTCAGAATGACTGCAGTGACACTGGAGTTTATTGTGGTCAAAGACCTTCCTGTGGGTAGACAGGCTGAAAATTTAGTAGAAAGAAACTTCATGAGATCACGTCAGTACCAGTCTGTGCAGCCCCATCACTTTGTTCTCTTTATTCTTTGGAAGATCTTCTACATCTTTAGAATTCTCAGTGTTTTCATTCTAGATTGAAAGAGATTCTATTTGGCAGACACATAGATATTAAGCTTACATAGTAAGTTTGTGACACTGTTGCAGAAAAATTTTTTTCAACATGCAATAATTTCACAGTAATACTCTGAGAAATGTATGCATCAAAACATCTGATTCTATACTTTTGAATTCTCCTTTTGTCTTTGAGGTCAATGTTCTCACTGGGAAACATTATCCTTTATTACAAATTTTGAAAATTCTTGAGGTCAGAGACGCTTTTCAGTAGGAAGCATTTGTGAATTCCATTTGCAAAAAACCTGTGAGAACCTAATTGGCATTTAGAGCTTGCTACTTAGGTCTTTGTAATTGTGCCAGAAAGTTAAGAAATTTAGGATACTGAAGTCATGTTTGCAAGATATGAAAATTCCATTTTCTTACGGATAGAGTATGATCAAAGGTGATAGAATTTTAGTGGTGAAACTGGTGTTAAAGTAATTTGTTCAAGTGGCTTGTTGGAGAAGATTTTATACAATTAAGCCGTCTGTTCTCAAAGGGTGGCAACATCAGTAACAACTAGTAGTGGTAACAGTGGCGGAATCAATTACATTATAATAGTAGTATGCGTCAAGGACTGTTCTGAGCACTTTAAATGTATCATGGCATTTAAGACCTCATGGCAAGATAAGTGTATTTTACCTGTTTTATAAATAAGTAAACTAAGATGTAGAGTGGTTAAATACATTGCTTAAAATTATTTATCTAATGTTTTAGAGCCAGACTGTACTTTGGTGTTCTAATTCATAGCTCAATAATTATGCTTTATGGCTTCTCCATAGTACTACTATTCAATTGTATTTAGCCATTTCCCTGTTTCTGGGACAAACTGTCCAACAATTTAAAGGATTAGAGGTTTATTTGGCTTATAGTTTCACCTAATGGTTGGCTGGCTCTAAGCTGAAAATGGAATGGTGAGAGGGCTCAGCAGAGGATAGCGGCTCAGCCATGAGGGAGGGAAGGAGGAAGGGAGAGAGAGAGAGAACAGAAAGAGAGAGAGGAGAGAAAACAGAGAGAGAGAGAAAGAGACAGAGAACAGAGAGAGAGAAAGAGAGAACAGAGAGAGAGAAAGAGAACAGAGAGAAAGAGAACAGAGAGAGGAAAGAGAGAATAGAGAGAGAGAAAGAGAGTGAACAGAGAGATAGATAGATAGATAGATAGATAGATAGATAGATAGATAGATAGATTTTCCCAGTCAGGATGCCCCCTGATGACCTAACTCCTCTGACCAGGTCCCAATTCTGAACACATTGAGGACACTGTAAATCTAAACCATTATATTAATCATTTCGCAGGACACTTCTTTTAATAAAAGCTTGGTTTGGCTTTTGAGAACGGCAGAATTCATTATGAGATCCCAGAGTAGTTTTTACATTTTTTATTTTTGTATTTGTGATACATAATAATTATATTCATCTTGGGGAATTGATAGATAATATATCCCAGATGTGTGTGTGTATAATATACATCACCTTTTAAATCATTTTTACTTTCCCTTCTCCTCCTTGCTGTCTGCTTTCTTCTTGTCCTCAGTTTTCTTCTCATCTTCACAGAGTAGAATAGTTTTGGCTCATTGTGGGATTAAAAGAGAGGAGTACTTAGTATAAAGATTTTGCCATCTTTGCAGAAGTTAAATCGAGCCACACCTGAGGTGAAATGGACAGCAGTTCCATTCCTAGATATTTTAGTTCTACTTGCCACTCAGCAATTAGTTGTAGATAGTAGATCAGAGTAGCCCATAGACTACAGTGTGACTGGGTGCATGTACACACTAAGATATAAAGAGGCAGTAAGAAAGAAGACTGAGGAATGTAACAACATATCATGGGTTGGACTTTGTAGTATTTACAAGTTTGATTCCTGAACCAAACCTGATATGTTTTCTTTCTCTTTTTGCCTATCCCAGTTTTTTAAAATTAAAACTGGAAATGCACAATTTCAAAATATTGCCCTATTTATTGAGACAAATTATGATCACTTTCATAACAGTTATCACTGTTGGTAACTACATTTATATTTTATTTCTTCATTTAATTTGTGCTACTGGAAAGTTCAGGACAAACAAAATGGTTTAAGTATTTGATGTCCAAGATGAGTGACTTTCTACTGACTGACTGATTTTCTACTACAAATGAGATGGTTCCCTTTGTATTTTATGTAATTTTTATATATTCAGAAGCACTTTCTGTTTTAGAAATCATTTTCTTAGAAAGAAACAAGAAGAATTAGAGATGAATTCTCACAAAGTAACCTTTGTATTTGGATAGTTTCCATGAACTTAAAGTTATTTTCTTGTTAAAATATTCCACATTTTACAAAATTTCAAAAGCTGTATCTGAGTCAGATTTACATTTTTTTTTATTTAAGAGGAAAAAGAGAAAAACACAAAACAAAACAAAGCGGTGTAAGGGTACACGTAATACAGAACTACAAAAAAAAAAATAACAGTAAGAAATCACCTGTTAGTAGATTACATATTATCATCTTGAAAATAGTTGCTCAAATCACAGTATCAAAGAATACAAGGTGAAAGAAAAAAAAAAAAAAGAATACAAGGTGGACATTCAAACAGGGAGACTGCAAACAGCTGTGTTCAATGATCCAAAAACATTGATATAGTCAGCTATTTAACACCCCTAAACACACTTGCTGTTATATCCGTTAGAGCTCTTTTTTTTTTCCCCTCTCTTTTTTACAACAAAATTTACACATTTTGGATTTTATTACTCCTTAGTGCTTATTACTTTTTTTGGGGGGGGGGAGAGAATACAGTCAAATATGGCAAAACAAAGCTGTCAGTCAAAACCAAGGATAGACATAGCACATGGTGTAGAACAGAGTACAAGGTTATCAACAATGGTTATCAACGTTGTCTCTTGTTTCCTTAAAAAGAATTGTCTATCTCATTAGATATTATAAAGTTGGACAAAACAGTAGAGAACAAGACCAATAAAACTTAGGCATTGTAAACATTACAGGACTTCCAAAGAAGACAATAGTCAAACCAGAATGGGTATCTTAGTGAATCTTATTGCCTTCAAAGTAGTTGCCTATGTCTTCAAACTTGATACTATCATATAGAATGGAACAGAGTCTAATCAGTCAAAACAAGATCGTGGGAGTATTACAGGACTTCAAAACAAGTTAATAGGAAATCAAAAAGAGTTACTATTTATATATCCTAATTTTTTAAATTTTTTCTTTAATTAAGACCAACATAAGAAATGACTAAATAATTTTTTTTAAAAGAATAAGGGGGAGATTGAGATAAAACAGGACATAACAATATAACAATAGAGGTCAAAGCATGACTGTTTCAGCAACCTAGTACTTCACCACCATATAACCCGACTTAATAGTAGTTACCATAGTGTCTGTCTTTTTCCTTGAAATATTTGGATAAAACTTCATATACTCTAGCTTCAAATATTTCCATATCAAGAAGCCCAGAATAAAGCCTTTCTAATTAATGAGTGAAAACTTTATAAGGCTTCAAAGCCACCTAATGGGGAATCATGATTACCACATATTTTTATATATTTGAATCATTACTTACATTAGGGAAACTATTCGGTATTCACACATGCGAGATTGATTTATTTCACTTATGAGTATGGTCTCAAGCTGCGCCCATTTATTGATAAATATCTCAATGTGATCCTTCTTTATAGCTGAATAATACTCCATTGTATAGAAATACCACAACTTTTTTATCCATTCCTCAGTTGATGGACACTTGGGTTGTTTCCAAGATCTGGCAATTACAAATTGTGCTGCTATAAACATAGGTGCACATATATCACTGTGGTATGATGCTTTCAGTTCTTCTGGGAATATGCCTAGAAGTGGAATAGCTGGAATAAATGGGATTTCCAGTCCCAACTTTTTGAGAAATCTCCAGACAGATCTCCACAAAGGCTGTACCAGTCTACACTCCCACCAGCAGTGCAGGAGAGTTCCTTTTTCCCCACAGCCTCTCC